CCTCAAAGTTACATGTTGGTGACATCAGCCCATTTACTATGAGAGAGAAAGCAACAGCTAGGAGGAAACCACCTGCAAGAAATAAGTTTTATCATTGTATATTTAGCAATACTCTCCTTTCCTTCAACTATGAAAAGTTCGTGTTTGCATGACTGAAGAGCTCTTTTGGTCTAAAACATACTGTTGCGAACGTGGTTTAGAATATTTTGCTTTATCTATCACATTAGTCGTCACTTCAGTCAGTAGCAGGGGTGTGTCTGAGTGTGCTTGTGATTAACCTCTCATTATCCAGTGAGCTAGCAGAAAACTAAGTGACTACAAAGTCTTGTGAAAAATGTTACGACCAAGGTTTGCAAAATAGATTTTTCAATCAGTAGGACTCAGCATGAGTGACAGCAACAATGTGGTTAGAGAAGTCAGAAAAGCCTTTCTTCCCAGAGGCTTCGATAAGAAGAGGTTTGAGAGGCGAGGCTGGGATGATTTGGACATGTGCAGGGAAGAGATAGTGGGTATGCTGGGAAATGAATGGAATATGGAGCAGCCAGGCAAGAGGAAAAGTGGAAGGAAAAGTGAACCACTGCCAGATATTTTGCTCCAGTCTAATCACCACTTACAACAGGCATAGATCGCAAATTCAAAACGTTATTTATTCCAATAGATTGATGACGGTTACTTCAAACCCCAGAGGCTGTCTGCTCCCAGTCCACCTAAAACAAAAAGAAAATGCTAGAAAAAATCCTTGAAGCACAGATACAAGAGGAGTAATAGCAACAATTTTACGTTCCAGCTTATTAATTCACTGCAGACTCAGACAAAGTTTTGATTTATTTGACTGACTCTTCGTCTTAAAATGGAAAAATAGAACCCAGTTCTATTTGTTGTCGTCTATCGTCACAGCTGGCCCTTACGCAGAGTTTCCAGTCTGATTTCTGTCTGATCTTTATCTGTGCTCAGTTCAGAGAAAAAATGACAGTAGCTGATTTTAACATTCATGTAGAGACTGAAAAAAACAAACTCAACACCAGGTTTTTATTTATGATTTAGACTCAGCTGGCGTGTAAATGAGCCCACTCGCAGCTTTAGTCACACTGTGGATTTTGTCCTGACATGTGACATGGAAAATAACATTGAAAACCATTTCTCAATAACATTTCATTTTATCTCAAAGAACTGTAGTACGCTATATGTATTTCTGAAAGTGCTGTAAAAAAAAACTTCCCTCTTTATCATTTTCAATGCCAACACATGCAGGTACCTAAATCCTACTCCCACTACGAGATTGCAGAGCAGTACGTACAACTTTAGATATTGTGGCTCCTCTAAAAATAAATAAATAAATAAATCAGAAGTGCCTGACTCCGGGGTATAACTCACAAATGCATGTCTTAAAGCTGGAGTAGAAATGATATTGCACTAGTATAAGAGATGTTTTTTGGCCCAGAAAAATAGTTTGTTGCTCTACAAAAAAGCCTCCGTATTTGTCAGTGGTGAAAGAAAACAGACCTCAGTCTATTTGAAGAGTTTCAGTCAGGTTTCACAATCCATCATAGCACAGAGACGGCACTACTGAAGGTTACAACTAATCTTATAGCGTCTCATGTCTGATTGTTCTGCTAGACCTCGTTGCAGCTTCCGACACTGCCGATCACAACAATGTCATACAGAGCTTGACTGTTGCAAGCTGCTATTAAAGGAAATGTGCTGCAGTGGTTTGAATCATCTGTGCAAGCACCAACTCTGTTTACATTATTAGAAAATACTCCATAGATATTCATTGCTTTGCAGATGATGAGTTATTTCTGTCCATGAAGTCACATGACACAGGCATGTCTCAGAGACAAAGACCTGAATGACTAAATAATGACAAAACTGAGAATATTATATTTGGTCCTAAAAGTCATATAAACGTTCCAGCCAACCAGATAGCCATCCTGGATAGTATTACGTTGGCCTCCAGTAACACTGTGAAGAATCTTGGTGTCATTTTTGATGAAGACATGTCCTCCAATGCAGATATTAAACAAATATGTAGCACTGCTTTACTTCATCCGTGCACTGTCTCTAAAATTGGAAGCATTCTATTGCAGGGTGATACTCAAAAACGAGTTCATGCATTCATTACTTCTAACTTAACTATGGCAATTCATTATTATTTTCACTCCCCATGTGTATGTATACCACTTCGGCTTGTTTGTGTTCTCTGTCTCTTCATCAGTCGCTGCCTATGCTCTCTTTTTCATGTCTCTTCCCTTTCTCTAGCTCCCAACCAGTCATGGCAGACGAGCCGTACTAATGATGAGTCTGTAGAGCCGGATAATGAGAGGGGGGTTGGTGTTCATTTCTGTGAATGGTTCAACTGACACTCAACCAATCTCTGAGTAATTTTATGACTGGAAACTTAACACTCCTCTAAGCTCTGAGGATTTATTGTGTCACCAAAGAGTGAAACAAGACTAAAGGTCAGCCAAATCCAGTCAGCTCTGAATTCTGCAGGAAGAGAAAAGCTGATAGAACCAGTGAGATCTTTTGCATTCCTACTCACAAATGAGCTTTCTTAAGTTTTTTAAAATTTCTCCAAAAACATGCATCTCTATATTTCTTATTGGCAAAATGTATTATCTCTTACTGTCCTAATTCTATTGAATTTATTCAATAAGACCTGCAAATATAAATATTCTGGTTTGAAGGCCAAAGTAAAAGGAAAGTCTGTGTGATTAAACCTAATCTAAAAGGTAAATATTCTCAAAAAGTTATTTTAAAATAGCTGACACTCATAAAACCCATAGAAATCTGTTGTGTCAACCCCTTAAATCAAAAGCAACATGAAATTTTAATGAAAGAAAATATACAGTTAATGCCCTAAATGTAACATTTTAGACAACAGCTTCATTCATTTTGGACTATCTTGTGAGAACTCCCAGTGAAACCAGAAGTGTAGAGAGTGTGAGTTAAATTAGAAACTCTGTTTATGCTGGGTAATGTAGTTCTGCTAAAAGTTAACCAAACTGTCTTCAACTAGTTCCTCTGCCTCGGAGTCTGTTAATGCAGATTATTTAATCCTGCTAGTTACATGCTTTTGTTGGGTAAATCAAACACACTAAAATAATTCAAGAGACAAAATGTGTTCAAAGGTTTCACTGGCTGTTTCAACCCCTTTCTGAAATTAAAGGTTTTGGTTTTTTTATAGATCTGCTATAGCTCTTAAAATATACCGTAAGGCGTTGATTCAAACAAAAAGCAAGTCTTAAGGCAAATATCTACAAAATTAAAATGAAACTTTATTGTAATTTATACAAAACAAACAAACAAAATAAAGCAAGAATAATTGGGCTACAGAGTCACAGTAAGAATGAAGTAAGAACATCGGATATTTACATACAAACATTTGACAGTCTTGTCAGTCACCCCGTTGTATACTGCGGTGAATAACAGCACATATAACTAAGCTGTGGTCTATCTTCAAATAAGCTGCGTTTTTGTACAGTAACCTTTTTTCAAACATTGTCTTCATACTATGAATGCTTTGGCGATGCTGGCCCTCCTAATGCTTACGGCTGGATCCTGATCTTCACTGATGACACATCAGGTTTGTAAGATCGTAGCTTTGAAGTCTCTTCAGGCTTTCACTGCCACTTTGTGTTGTCAGTTGTGTGTTCATACATAATGTGTGTCGTCATCAGGATAGGGATTTGAAAAAAAAAAAAAAAAGGATAGGGATTTGGGTTGGTTGGTGGAGCTGTAGCTTAAAGTTTACTGGTAATTATGTGACAATACATTCAGATCATGTTACGGGTCAACACAAATGTAATGCAGAGTAGTGTAATGAATGAAATAATCAATTTTCCAATGAGTAATAAATAACGTTCGGCGTTACTCAACAAAATGGAAAAAAAAGTCATGTGGAATATGTTACTTTTTTTAAGGAACAGCGCCATCACTGGTCATATCTGGGGTAGGTGGTTGGATGTGACAAGGTGTTACATGAAATATTTCCTTTTTACCTATATTTTGGTGCTCTTCTAGAATTACATGAAGTTTGTTAGGTTTGAAATGACACTGAAAAAGCAAAAAATAAAATAAAAATTATAATAAAAAAATATATATTTAACTCAAAAGTAGTTTTTGAATTTAATGTTGCTGAAACAGCAAAATAATAATAATTAAAAAATCTATCTGATGGTGGAATCACTCATCTTTGGAAAAGAGAGTTTATTACGGAGAAATGTCTCTTTCCAAAATAAAAGCTATACTATCCGCTTCTTCTGAGCTATATTCTCAGCAGCATATTAAACATATCAGGTCCCCATAAGGAGAATCCTGTGCTAACGGCTGTCTAAAGGACTCGGGTAAAGTTTGTAGCATGCGTGCTTGTTGTTTTTGTCTGCTTCCACTTGTCTTTGCACTAGGATGATGTCGGCGTAAATGTGCAGTCATATTCGTTGTGTTCCCACTAGTGCTGTCAGCGTTAATCTCGTTAAAATGACATTAACGCCATAACGCGGCAAATCTCCGTTAACGAGTTACGGCGGATCGCCCTGTGCGTGGGGCTGGACGGCGTCAACAAGCTAACTGCGCTAACGCACTAGTTCCCACCAATTGAGATACATACTGTTTTACTTTAGTCCATGACGCGCCATCAGGGTCATGCTTCACATGAAAACCAAGATAGTTCCAAACGCCAGATCTGAATGAGGGTGGGGGAGGCTCAATTTCGGGTAGCGTTGAGGCAGTTGCCATGTTGCAATGAGCGTAGCTTCTGTCTTGCTAGCTTGCGCTGCACTCAGTGGATCTGCACTCGACAGTGTAGCCTAGGCGGGCGGAGTAGTCGAACGCAGATTCACTGAGCGCTCAACACAGACAGCATCGTCAGAAGAAAAGTTGATAAAATAAATAAAAAAATTTGTATTGTTCAATACACATGCGTACCGAACCGAAAGCACTGTATCGAACGGTTCAATATCGATACGAGTATTGTTGCACCCCTAATATATATCTATATAGAGCTAAAGGGGTCAGGTAGGACAAACGTATTGATTTTTCATGGGTTGACCCATTCAGCTTGACTTACCAACAAGTTACCAACAACTGAATATAAGATGTTCCATTTCTAATAATGTTTATTTAAATTTTTGGTTCTTCATAACAGCTGTACGAAATATAAAAAATACAATATAATACAATATATGCAAAGCAGTTCATCGTCCACTCAGAGTTTATTTGGTTTCCGAAAACTTGAAGGCAACGGGACCATCGGGAGATGTTGGAGAGCATGCCGAAAGCACGGTGAGAGCAGGTGAGGAGGCGGAGATTGATGTGGAGTTCACCGTCTGTGGCACAACCAGATTGCGATATGGGCAGCCTGAATCGTAGATAAGCCTCAACACGTCCTGACGGAAACGCACGCCTACCAGGGCGTAGAGGATAGGGTTGAGGCAACAGCGGGTGTACGCCAGCGTGCAGGTGATGTACTCCAACATCAGACCACAGAACGGGCCAAACATTTTGCGACACAGCACCGCAGTGTACGGCAGCTGGAATACCAGAAAAACCAGCACCAGGGCAACCATCAGCTTCAGTGTACGCTGCCGTTGCCATTGCTTCCCTCGCCGATGTGCGTGCCCTTCCCACAGCACTCGAGCAATCGAAGTGTAGCTTGCCACCATAATGGCGAGGGACAGGCAGAAGATGGTGATGATCACGCCACTGGGAACCAGTCTTATTTGACCACTTACTTGCATGACACAGTACGCTTCAGTTTTGTTGCTTGAATTCCCAGAGAAGCTGTTTGAAACCCCCGAGAAGCAGATTTCAGGGATGCTTAGAGCCACTGCAACAAGCCATACCCCCACAGCAGTGAGCTTCCCAGCTTTTAGGATTTGGCTGCGCAGCCTGAGCATTTCCTGCGCTCGTGCTACTACCATGTAGCGGTCAACACTGATGCATGCCAGTAGCAGCAGCCCGCTGTATGTGTTGATGGCGTAGGTTGCACGCATGATCTTGCAGAGATGATAGGAGAAAATCCAACCCTTGTGAGTGTCAATGGCCTGCAATGGGAGTGTGAGGAGCAGGAGGAGGTCAGCCAGCGCCAGGTGGAACAGGAAGACATCGGTCATGGAACGAAGTCGAAAGCGGCGGTAGAGAGCAAAGGTGGCGATCACCAGGGAGTTTCCTGCAACGCCAAGCAGGAAGATGGCGGTAAAAGCGCAAGCTTGGAAGGTTTTGATGACGTCCGCCTGGTGGTCATCAGCTTCACACCAGTCTTCATTGTCAGGATAATCTTCGGAATATGAGTCATTACTTATATTGATGAAGTAATCTTCTATAGTATAGTCAGGCATTGCTGTTGGAGAAAATAAAACTTGTAAGTCAAAGAATTATTAAAATAAATAAATAAATACTATTGGTGATCCTCAGTATTTCCCCTACACTGTGGGCACTTTAACTTTCACACGTAATTTGGGGCTAACTGTATCATTTAAGTCTAAAGTATCCCAGTATCACATGCGGTCCCTAGGGAAAAAATAATTGCCCACATCTGCTCTTGGAGCAACAAGAGGCTGACATTTTTTTGTAAATCAACTTGAAAACTAGCAAACAGATTGGAATAAACTGGGCTCAGACACACTCTGTGGCCACCACCAGGTCAGGATTATATTTGGTTTGTGATTGTAAGACTGACACTTATTATGACAGATTAATAAGGACATGTTTGGGTCATAAATTCAAAGTCGGTACTTGAGGGACATGGTCAGCAGACATGTATACTATTGATTGGGTCTTTCCAAAAGGCCCTTCAGTACATTAGCTTATTTCCTGATATTACAGGAAATTTACGGTCATATGTTGATTCCTGTAGTCGCTGCTGTTCTTATAGCCTGTATGCATTCAATTTCTAAATGTTTGTTCATCAAGTGAGTTATTCTGCTTACTCTTGTCAGTAATTATGTACACAAACTACAACCAGAAAGCTGGTTACTAAACAGCTGCTCTGACTTGTGGTTTTTGTCTCCTCCCTCTATTATTTGTAGCTGCACCACTGCAACATTTATTAACATTTATCTAAGCAGGAAGTGAAACTCATGCAAAGAAGATTTCTAATCTTTTTTGCATGAGGGTGCTGGGCTAAGACAGAGTTTCAGGAGAAAACCTGCCCAAGCATGTCCTCTTATGGATCCAGGACCCTCTTGTGAAGCAGCTAACGACAATGTGCTGCTTGAAAAACTCCCCCCATTATGAGTTGTGTTTCCTTTCATATAGTAGAGGGCACATCTCAACTATTCACTGATAACACCCCAACAGCTGCAGGGCCATGTCATTTCAGGCCATGATATTAAGCTTTAATAAAGAGTAAGCAAGCATGGAGTTGAGTGCAACGGCAACATATAACTAAAGATTGGACCTGAAATTTTCCTGAACAGACTTTGCCTTCTGCATTTTATTTACAACATAAAGTTAAAGCAGTCAGTTGTGGGCAAATAGACTGCATATGAAAAACTTCCTGCTGTTTTGACATGTCTGTAATGAATGTCTTGAGTCATTCTGTACTTCTCCAAAATGCCACAGAAAGACCAGCTTGCGTGAGTACTTATTATTGTTCAAAAACTGCAGTGCTCCTTTTACATGAAGCCGGGGCTGATTTTGAGCAATGTTTTGCCCTGCACGTCACGATATCAGGAAATACCAACCCCTTTACAATCAGGTTGAAAGTGAGAGATCTGTAGCAAAGCTCTTCAGTCTGACTAGGCGGCTGTGATATTTTAGTCATTTCGTAGCATGTTGCGTGACACTGGCATCAGGTCGTTGGTACAGGGGAAATCGTGGGTAGCTTAAGGTTTACAGATCAGTCAGTGTCGCGTGCTAACAGCCTTTATAGACAGTTTCCACAATCACCTTTTTATCATTTCATCTTCAGCGATGTGCCTGTTTGAACAGGCTGCTCACAATGTTAAGTTTATTACAGCAATCCTTTTTCTTCTCTTAACTTGTCGGTTTGATGGTGGGGACACACATTAAGGTAAGAGGAAAAGGAAAACGTGTAGAGGGTTTGGTGCCAGTGTGATTTTCTGCTCTTAGTGTGAGTTAGGTGAGGGTTGCAGTTAAATGTGGAATCAGTCAGGATGGGAGTAAAGTTTTCAATACTCGAAATAATGTAAGTCATGTGCAATACTTAACAGAAAATCTCCCTTATTAGAAACGTCTGGGCGAATGGAGATGTCTGACATACAGAACACTATAATTTGTTAGCAATATTAGCTCTCTCTAGTTCATACAGGGTCAGGGTTGAAAGAAAAAGCCTGCATTAATAACTTTGTCATGTGTAATTTAATAAAATAAGAAAAACTTTCCCCTTTCTGCACACTAATTTGTTCTAGTAGATGTGTTTTTTCCGCATTTAACTACTTAAAAACATAATCTAGTAATACTCGTAAATTAAAGCGTTTAACAGTAAGGTTTGCAAGCAGCTTACTTTAAATATCGCTCTCTAATGATGGACAAAGGAGCGGACTTGGATATATTCCTGGTCCATGTTAATTCATATTCTACGTATGTGTTTATATAAGACAGCATTTTATAAATATTATAAAATATACAAAACATTACTGTGCATTTCAATGCCTGGGTTAACACTCATAACAGCACTTTGCGTGCCACTGATTGTTCGTCTTCTCTGACTTTGACACGTCAGCCTTCAATCTGCCTTTGAGCTAATTCTTTTCTCAGTAGTGGGCTTACTCTGTAAATGCATAAAAGACAAATTATATATATCACAACATTTATGGTTTAAAATTTTGATTCAATTTAAAAGACTAAAATCTGAAGAACTTGGACATCCAAAAGACTGTTTTGTAAACATTGGGATGTGGGTTTCTTGGCACATTAGAGGCGTTAAATTCATCCCTTTATTTCAGATTTTAGTCATGGAAGCACCAGATATAACACAGCAGTACTTTTTGCTGCTTTTTCAATTTGCTACTGATTTTCTTTATGTTGATGAGGCGATGAAGACTTCACGTCTAAATAAAAAGAATTATGGGCAACGTTCCTAAACTTTAATGTTAAATTAAAAAGTAAAACAAAAAATTGGGGTTTTTTTCTTTTTGGTTTTAAGGCTTATCAAATTCTTGTTTATACATTTTTAAAAACAATGTAATGTTCAACACGGATATACTTTTATCCGCAAAGGATGTGCAGCATTTGTGCCGCTGCTACAGCTATTTGTCTACAAATGGTTTGTCATGAAATATTTAGAGAAGAATAATTATTTTTTGGGTGGATTTTAAACAAACTGAAACATTTTTCTTGCTGTTGCACTTTGCATTTTAAAAAACAAGGCATTTATATTGGTCATGGATTTTTCCCTGATTCAGTTTGAACTCTAAATATGTTTTGCACTAAAATTATTATTTTTAATCTTTATTAACAACAACAGAATACTGTGCCTTACGTCACAATATCAGGAAACTTTTACCTCCTCTTACAATCAACCTGAAAGTGAGAACAACCCCACCAAACTCAAAAATGCTTTATTTGAGTAGGCAGGCGTTGTTATATTTCACACATTTTCATGTCGGCCTGCAGCTTTCAAGAGCCAGTTTCATATTTTTATCATCAGTGTAGCAAATAAGAATACTATATTTTTAACTGAAGCATACATCTTTCTAATAGCATTGTGACGGAGTAAACCCCCAGCTTATGCTTTACAATTTACAGTCACTTCTATGGTTAGGGAGAAATAATTCTGACAATTTGGTAGTCATACCTTTGGTATAGTTTTCACAAATCAAGTGATTATGAGTCATATGTGGCTGCAGATTTGTTATGAACCACAACCACACTCCCAGACATTTCAACTTGGTGGATTTTTCACAGCAAACTGATTAAAATCACTAAATTTGGTTCTTTGTAAAGTTACTGTTACATATATGCATCTACACATCAAAACATGTGAAAGCATTGTCTTTTAGCTTACATTTTGCATTTTTTTTATAGTTACGTGTCTTAGAGCCCTTACCTGTACTATTAGAGGTGTTGAACATGTCCTTGGTGCTCCTCCTGTGGCAGTTGGAGAGATCAGTGAAACTCTCATGTTTAAAAACACGCCTTTGGGGTAAACCTTAACCAATGAAACACACTCTGTGTTTTGCTGACCTCGCCGTACCCCAGCTGTTTGTTTCCTCAGGAGGATGTGAACTGACTGAGATGATTCACATAGATCTTTATGGTACCTTGGCTTTATTAAAACAGTGCAATCAAGATAAATCATTAAAATGGGTTTTGCCTATCAGTGCTTTTGTTCTCTCATACAAAGTCTAGTTGACTCCCTAGCATGCTGTGGCTTCTTTCTGTTCTCTTTTATTCACTTATATATGCAGCTTATTTCAATAAATGCTCATTCAGCTCTAAATTAAAATAAAATATATAAAAGTTAAATGAAGCTTCTGTTTTGAAAATCTGTGTGTGATCATGCTGAATCATCCTGATAGTAGGTTAGTAGAGAAAAAAATAATGTGAATTGGCCTTTTTAGATACAGGTTATTGCCCAAAATTTGTCTTTGTTCTTGTTACAGATTGAATATTACAATACATTTTGCTGTAGGTTCAACTGGCAGGTCAAACGTAACAAACCACATCTTGGGGCGTGACTGCATACTGGTGCCAGGACCAGTTCATAACCTCTGCCTGCTTTGTTTCGAGAGTTTATGATCGTTTGAGGACCCTGGCCACATAAGTCTCTCAACTTGTGAACTCAGTCAAGCATTTTTTCTCAAACCAAACTCAGAGTCATCCCTCGTGAGACCAAAGGTTCTCTGTGCAACCACCACAGAACCGTTATTATTGACACCTTAAGACATAAGATCAACTGTCAGTCAGCTAAAAAAGTGATGAGCCACAAGACTCCGTGCATGTTGGATGATGTTATGTACGTTGTACATCGACTGCTATATATACATATATATATATATACACCGGTATATAGGTTATACTAAGAGCATTGGTTGTCGACGAGGTGGTAAAGGAAGACGACCAAAAACAAAACTGGGGGTTTTTGAAATTTCATCAGACATAAATACTGATTACTGTAAAAGTTTTGCCTTCTTACCAAAACCAAAACATTAACAAAGGTATAGAGTTTACTGTGAAAGGAAAAATGTTTCATTTCTGGTTTGCGTCCCACTTTTCACTGCAGCTTGACGAGTAGTTTGCAAGCGTTTATAGACAAGTTAGCATCTTCCATACTGATGATCCCAGCAACCTGTAGGTGACTAAAGTAATTGTAAGGAGGTTCTCAGGACAGCACTGTATGCCTCTTTGTTTGACATTAGCAACCTCCCGCAACCACTCATAACTATTCAGGGAATACCCTTTCCCCCCTCAGTACTGGTGGTTGCAGGAGGGTTTTAGGCCTACGTGACCGAGGCCTAAAAACGTACGTGGCACTGCTACCTGCTCTGGAAATGCCCCTGCTTTATCCCCGAGTACAAAGTGATTAGACCTGATGAATGCTGCATAGCCAAGCTACAACTAGCTGATCTAGCATTGTCGTTGCCCACCGAAATAAATAATCAGCAATTATTCCAAGCAAAAGTTATAATCAATATTCACTGGGAACTAGTCTACTTTTCTTCAAAGATCACTGTAATTTCCAAATGACTGTTCATAGTTTCGAAAAGCTCATTTGCTTTTCCTAACACAACTACCTCATTCTCATTGGATAATGACCTGCAATTAACAACCCATTAGCCAAATACGCCACATAAATTTACCTCACTTTAAAGGTTACATCTTTGCTTCTTTGTTATATACCATTTAATATAAATTATCATGGACCACATCAGCTGGTAAAATAATATGAGAAGCTGTCCAATAAGCATTTGCAATTGTTTATAATTTTGCTACTAATAATATTAGCAAAAACGAAAGTTTTAGCCAGCTAGCTAGAATTTAGCTTATGCTACATGACTCTTCAGCATGTTCTAGTGTTAAATCTTTTGTATCTTATTTCGATACATGATAGCACAGTATGTTTAAAGTATGTTGCATGCAAACGACTTTTCAATTCTCGGGCTTTGACTCATCAGTCTTCAGTCTGCCTTTCATGTTTTCCAAAAGTTGTTTAAGACAAAATATATTTCTCTGCACCTCTTCCTAAAACAAAATTTACATTTTAAATTTATATTAAATGTAAAGACAATCAACATGCCCAAAATACAAATTTGCAATTACGTTTTGTTTTTTGAAAGTTGTTACTTCAAGTGGTTTCAGAACCACCAGAAGTTTCGTATTCAAACTTTGTGTTGAAGTTTCATGTTCAACCTAATATTTCAGATTTTAGTCATGAAAGCACTAACAACAAATACAAGTGATTTTTATTAAGTTGTTTTAGGTCATAGATTAGCAACTAGATCATATTGTGCACAGTAATGGAGTCTTCTCTGGGTTATTTATTGAATAAAACTTTTAAAGACAACCCTTTGAAGCACGCGGAGTCTAATTTTCAGTCCTCGTAGTTTCCCTGAGTGAAGGTGTGATACTTAGAAAGTGATAGGCCTTATTGTGGTCCTTGACATAGCTAGTCTGATTATTTAATATAGAAGAATATTCAGACATTTTGCAAAAGTAAACATGTCTCATAGATAGACGTTTGTTTAGATGCATAGATATGTTGCAACTGCAATGCAACAAAGGTAACACAGAGTGGTGCAGACTATGAAAGCAATCACTGGCTTCTGTTTGTTTGTTAAAACCTGGGGGAAACGGACAAACACTGTATATTGTTCCAGTGAGCAACACGATGTGCAATTTTTTCACCACTAACCATTGGTCCCACAGAACCACAGTCTTTGACCCACTTTTAATTTGTTGTGATTTGGTCATGCCATCTACACAGCTTAACTTCTACCCTTTATTTCAGTATCGATGCATTTGATGCTTTAGGTTAGCAAGACGTTCAGTGGAAATTTTGTAGGCCAAATGGAGAAGTTTGCATTGTGCTGCACTGTACCAGTGCAAATGAAGAAATGCCAAAGCTCATGCTGCTGTAAAATCTAAATCTTCTGAATTATGTGTAAGTAAAGTAGGATAAATAAATGAAGTCAATATATTGACATTACAAAATAACCCCTAATGTGCGCTTGCATCCATTATTCCAAATGACGTCAGGCTGCAACATCATTAACTCCATTCAGGACTCGAGCTGCTCTAGAATCCAATTAAGCAGTATTACCAGTTTAATTACGTTTCCCATCATTCAAGAAATGGGTCAGATCAACTTACTGATTTAAATGTGCAGGAACGCATATTTATACGGGTATGCAAAACTAGTTGTCTGATCGCTGTGGAGGCGTTAACAGCGATTAGACCACAGCGTTTGCTTTGCAGGCCATGAGAAAGTTGTACAATAGGTTTCTCTGCACTGTTTCTGCTGATGGGAACTTGTTGGCATGTTGACAGCTGAGCTCGCACATTGTCAATCCTTAATCCTCAGTGTGGTTTAGTTAACTTCTGATTGCAAACCTCCATGCATGTTTGTACGTGTGGTTGGTGCAAACGATGTGAAAGTGGTGACCTACTACTCAACCTGTGAACAACCTCTCAACAGTCATTGGCTCGTTTTTCTTCACTTCCAACTTTTGAATTTGCATATCTGAAGAACTTTATATCTTTTTCACCAATGATATCCGACCAGTAATTGTAAAAAATATTCTCAATTTAACTTGTCTTTAAATATAGGTCTTTAAAGACAGGTCTAGTCAAGTGCTTGGCGATGTGACAATAAGGGTCAATAAATGACTACGATCTACCAAAAATCGAAAGGAAAACATTTTCAGTCTCACTTTGAAAAAGTGAACATTTAATTGTCTGTTACTGTGTTATAATAAGATCTACACCATGTCAGTGTGTAACATGTGCAAATTTTCATTGGTTTATATTTTTTGAAGACCATTAACAAGTTTGGGATCCCAACAACTCCCTGTAGCTAAGCAGCTAAGTATGTCAACTGAGTCTCATAATTTACTACGGATTTTTTAAAAAAATCGTAACATCATCACATAACAATAACCTTCCAATAACAAAATAATATTAAGTGCAGTGTTGACTTTGGATAATTTAGACATTAATGGATTATTAGAATACAATTATGGCGAAATTCAGTGTTTGTATATATATATAAAACAATTTCCTCCAAAACCAGCAGATTTCCAGGTATCACCGTTGGTCTTTTATGTCTAGCTTTTCAAAGCTTCAAAACATTATATTTTCATGTTATTATTACATTATTATTTATTTTAATGAATAACTAATGAATTGTTCCTGACCTCATCAGCAATCACTAATATTTATTATAAACTTTCTAAATTTTTAAAGGCTAACATCATCCCTTTTATAAAAGTAAGTCACTGTCATGCTGCTAAACTGCCTTGAAAAATTCTGCAGGTAAATGTGTGTAAGACATATTTGTAGTTTATTAAAATTGGCACGCATAAAGAAAATAAATTTCTAAATGAGTCAATCCTGGTTTTATCACGTGTGAAATATTTCAGTGATACGAACCTATTTTACAAGAATAAAACCTCCATAAGCTGACTGACCTTGTGATTCCTCACAGTGTACAGATAAATCTCTCTGGAGGATTCAACAAATGTAAAGGTGGAGAAACAGAAACAGGCATCTTCAGAGTGGATTTCAAGTTATAAAACGATGTTAAAGTCTCAGTTTTATTTTTATCACATCTGTTATTTTCTACAATGATAGATTGAGTGATCCACAAAAGGCGCAGTATACGATGTTCCTAAAGAAACTGTAAAAACGTAACCTTCAACATATTTTATTAGAAAAAGACTTTTTTAAACCTTTTTTTTTCTTTGCATTTTTTCTTTGTATTTTTTAAGGCTGTGATGTTTTATTATAAATCACTCTGTGTTTGTGTTTTTTACTATAACTTTACCTATCATACAGCCATGTTATTAAATTGAATTAGCTTCTACAGGTGCCCCTAATGAAGAACTACACAGTGTTTAAGCACACATGCAGCTACAGTATTCTCTATGACAGCA